ATAGTTTTAATTTTAGCCCAAGCTTGTTAATTAATTTTAAGCCCAAACCTTTTTATTTTATTATTTTATTATTTATTTTTGGCCCAAATATTTTATTTATTTTTATTTCATTATTTTCTTATTTTAGCCCGAATAATAAAAGTCAGGAAAAAGCCCGAAATTATCAATCGGCACTTAAAAAGCCGAAAGAAATTAGGGTTAAAAATGAATTTAGACGGAAAAATGGACTGGAACTGATCGTCTCACGGTACAGCCTGATCGTGTCACGGGAACCCTTCCCGTCTGACGGTGGGACTTCCCGTGACACGGGAGGTCTGTCGTGACACGGGATGTTCCGTGTCCTTTCCGCGTAAACCCTTAACTTGTTTTTCATTCCGTTTTATGAAAATTTCCCGCGTCACTCCAAAACTGACCGTGTCACGGGAAAGTGTACCGTCTGACGGTACAGTTTGACCGTGTCACGGTACAGTCTAACCGTGTCACGGGATACTTTTTTAGCGTTTTTTTATCATTTTAGGGTTCCGTGTGCTCCCTCAGCACATTTCCCTATAAATACCCCCTCATTTCTGATGTACGGGGCAACCAGAATTTTATTATTCTTATTTTCTCTCTTCTATGCTATTAATCTAAACCCTAGCCTACCCTTTTCACTTCAAAATTCCTTCTTCAAGCACTCAAAGGAGTCCATATTTTACTCGAGGTTATGTCCTTAAGCCAAAGCGTGAAAGGTAGAATCGTTTGAGGGTTTGGCCCCAAAATCAACCTTATTTTATTTAATTTAATTTAGTTATTTTTTTATTATTTCCTTGAAGTTACTAACTCGTTTATTATTTTTTAGTTGCAAGCAAACAAATTCAAAGTAAGGATCATGCTCTTTTATTATTATTATTATTATTTTTCTAACAATTTTATGTTGTTGGGATTGTGATTAAATTGGTTTTAATATTAATGTTGATTCTATTATTATTGATTATAATATTGCATGTTTTAAAGGGAATATGTAATTGAAAATCACGCCTAATAAGATAATTTGGACAACCGGTTTAGGATCCTTTTAATCTTATTATTAATTGAAGTGATCACCAAATTTTAGAATTATGTGTGCATTAATTTTAAACCAATTTAGTTAAATAATAGTTTGGAGCGAATTGAATTATTGTTTGTATGCCTTTGAGATCACAAGAATGCTTTTCAATATAAGAATCGAGTAGAGGCCAATACGGGCGAATGTGACTCCATGACTCACTTCGTACCATCATCCCCGATCCTCCTTTCGTGGTTCCGAACCATATGGAGTTAGTAATCTCATGGATTATGAATGGGGTGTAATCTTCACGGGTGAATCGTTGTTGCCTATCGTTGTCCCTTATCGTGGTTGCCTTTTATGATCCGTGAACGGTTTACAAGTTCCTTAAAAAACTTGTTGGCGGCTCCCTAATTTATTTGTCCCTAATCGTAATGTCAATTCCCACTTCCTATGAGTGCCAAGCATATTCACCACATGCTTTTAACGTAGACGCACTTCGAACGACGCCTACAATTTGGCGACTCCACTGGGGAGGATTCTTAATTATTTATCGATTTGATTGATCGATATTTAATTAAGATGAGTGGATGAGACTTGAAAGATTCTTGAAAAAAATATTCCTGTAATTAATTTGGCATTTTTGCATCTACATAGACGTTTTAACGTCGCATTCAGGTCTGTCCTGTAGGAAAAATTGGATAACTCGGTTGCGCGCAAAAGCAAACAGGGCACCAGTCAGATTTTCTGACTGCCGTGTCACGACAGAGTTTGCCATGTCACGGTAGTCCTAAAATCATTCCGGTGGCCTATTTTCTTTTCTCACAGTCGACTTCCTTCGATTTTTCTGAAAAAACGTATGTGTTCTACATGCGTCTTAGCCCCGGGGGATTTAAGCTCTATCAACCCAAAAACTCTCATGGCAATAAGGGTTCATCCGAGTCATTAAATCCACCCAAGCCATGGAGTCGAGTTCGATTTCATCACGAACTCACGGAGCCGCCTGTTGGCATACACCCTCAAGGGAGGCTGCCTTGCTAACGCGTCCAAACTCTTAACCATGATACCCTTTTGACACCCAAAGCTTGACCAATAGTTGAACATAGATCTTGACTTTATGTTGCGAACTTTTTTACATCATCGTGCCTAAATGCTATGTGTTTGTTTGGTGTGTTTGCTCTTTTTGTTTAACCTATGACCGAGGTTTTTTATTCTCACATAGTAATTAGTACGGATTTAAAATCGATTAAAATCTGAAAAATTACAAAACTGACCTGGAACTGCGCACCGTGTCACGGCAGGTTCTGCCGTTTCACGGTGAACAGTGCTGTGACACGGGAAAGTCTACCGTCTGACGGTAGACTGTACCGTGTCACGCCAGTCTGCACCGTGACACGGTGCCCAGGAAAGTGTCCCGTCAGTCTTTTTTCTCGATTTTTGTGTCCAATATTGAGTCGTGTCTAGCTATACGGTCAAAACACACGTCTATAACCTCACCTAATCACTCACATATTATGTCCACACACTTTTTTTTAGTCATGCACCACTTTTGACCGTATTTTAGGGAAGTTTCGTTTTTTTTTCCAGAGTAAGTCGGATGGTATCCTCCCATGTTTTCTTTTTTAATAAGTAGAGCTTCAATAAAATATGAAAAAAAAAATTTCTTTTTTTAACCCGGATAGGTTAAGGTCAAGTTTGGTCATTAAAGGTGTGTTTGTTTCGGTGTCACAGCACTTGGGCAAGAAGCAAGAGTAGATTGTTACGGTTCGAGTCCATACCCCAACAACCTCTTATACCAAAGAGGCGTACAAGGAAACCACCTCAGTCATCTCCACAAGACCCGTCTCCAGTCTACTTTCAACCAATGGCCACTAAGGAAGACATCGAGAACCTCAACAGGACAATCGAAAGATTGTCTGACATGATGAAGATACTCACTACTAGAGTCAGCACTGTAGAGCAAGACAAGCAAAACAGTGTCACTACTGCTGCGATGGATAAGATCAAGGAACAGATGAGCAAGATTTCCGAAGAGTTCACTTATGTGGAACATCCTATCACCTCCTTGTCCATAAGGGAGAAGCTTCCTGAGAAGTTTTCCACTGCCGATATTCCCAAGTTCAAGCCTACTGATAACCCACTTTTCCATTTGAAGGCTTCTGCAACTATGACTCTTAAGGGAGTAGATGTGACACTCTTCCCTACGGTGTTCCCTCTTTCCTTAGAGCATGCCTGTCAACAGTGGTTATATTCTCTGGAATCCAAGCATGTCGCGACCTAGGAGGATGTTACTGAAAGCTTTATGAATCGGTACAAGTGTAACATCCAGGCCAAGACTTCTGAACGTGAACTCTCCATTCTCAAACAGAAAGAGAATGAAGGCTTCACCACTTACCTAAGCAGGTGGAGAGAAACAGTTGCGCTCTTGGTGGATCCTCCCAAGGAGAAGGAAATGGTTCGCTTGTTCATTGCCAACCTGACTCATAAGTACAAGCAACACCTGAAGTTTCTATCCCTAAGTACCTTTGATGTTGTATACGATATTGGAATCAATATCGAAGACGAACTGATGAAATCTGTTGGTAGCAACAATAACAACAGTACTTGGAAAAACAAGAAGAACGACACTCCTTCTTCTTCGTCTTCTAAGCCCAATAATGCTACCAACAATATCAACATCAATGATGTTCTGGCCCTTAATGCTCCTCCTCAAAGATTCCAAAGGCAAAGGAGGGTTTATACACCTTTGGGAATGACTTATGATGCTGCTTATGACCGTCTTCATGGTCAGGGACTGATTATGCCAATCGGACCGTTTCCAGAACCTCGACCTGAGAATAGGACCGCTAACTATGACCCCAACGCTTATTGCAAGTATCACCAAGGCAAGGGTCATAACACTGAGAAGTGTTGGAGGTTGAAAGACGCAATCCAAGACCTGATTGATGCTAACCAACTTCCTGTCCCTCCAGGGGGCAAGAAGCCTAACATTCAAACAGGTCCTCTTTCTGATGCTCTGGCTATCATGGGAGATGAAGTCTCCTTTGATCCGTCGATACTCATTCAATTTGTGAATGAACCTCTACCGGAAGTTGTATTTATCTCAAGCACTAAAGAAGTGAATGGGATCTGGGATAGTGATGATGAAGACGTCTATCTCAAAGACATAGCCTGTTTATCTCTCGGCACCAGTGAAGATGTTTGGGGGGACCTTGAGGTCAAGGTTCTCACCAGAAGTGGACGGTTGCAACAACCTAACCCACCTCCACCTCCACCACAATCAAATCCGATAGTTGATCCCATCGACCCTGTGAATAACGATGTGGTCAAACAGCTGCAAAAGACCAAGGTGGAGATGAATGTATGGAAGCTTTTGGCCACTTCCCACGTGCATCGAAAGGCTGTAATGAATGCTCTGGTAAAGATAGGAGTTGATGATGACATGACTCCTCAAGGATTGGTCAACTTTCTCACTACTGAGCTGCCGAGTACTAGCAATCTGATCTCCTTTTCTGATAAGGATCTACCCCCGGAAGGGGACCAACATAATAAGGCCTTACACTAGGGGTGAAAGTAGTTTGGATAAAAACCGAAAACCGAACCAAACCGAACCGAATAAGCAATTCGGTTCGTTTTTGTTCGGTTTTCGGTTTGGATCGGTTTGAGAAAATGAAAACCGAATTGTATCGGTTTGGATTCGATTTTGGGATTTTAAAAACCGAAAACCGAACACCGAACCGAAATTTATAAGCCCAATTATCTCAGCCCATTTTCCTACATATATATACCCAAACCCTAAATAATTTCCCTCTTTTCCCTTTTCCCTTTCAGAGTTTCAGTCAGTCGTTTCTCTTTCCCTCACTAAAACCCTAGATTTTCCCTCATCTCTCCCTCTCACCACCTCACTCCATTCGTCCACCACCACCAATCCACCACCTCACTACTTCCTGCTTTCCTGCTTTCCTACTTACCAACTGTGTTCCGTTCGAGTGTTCCAACGCCGGCCGCCGCTGACCACCTGTTCGAGTGTTCCGGTATGCTTTAATTTCAATATTTCATATTTCACTTCTCTTTTCCTGCTCGAATTGCATGTTTTCTTTGTTATTTTGAATTTCAGATTTCACTTGCACTTCTCTTTTCCTGCTCGAATTGCATGTTTTCTTTGTTATTTTCGAATTGGTGATAGATTGTTTTCTTTGAATAGTTATTATGCTCGAATTGTATTATGCTCGAATTGCTGATATTCCTTCAGAGTTCAGAATATATGTTGTTCTATTATAGTATTATGCTCGAATTGCATGTTTTCTTTTTGATAGATTGATTGTTTTTCATAGATTTGCATAAAAATTGTTGGTTATTGAGTGAGTTCTTTTTTCTGTTTTAAATCAGATTATCAGAATGTCCACAAATATGGATAATGTTGAAGGGAATGTCCCTATTGAGGAGCATGAATCTGACAATGAAAAATCCAAACCCAAGAGGAAGAGAATGAAGGATCGTTCCGAGGTTTGGGAGCACTTTATCAAGGAAGAAACACACACTGGAATGGAATCACGTTGCAAGTACTGTGGTATAAGATACAAGTGTGGTACAAAGAGAAATGGCACTAGTCCATTGTGGGCTCATATAAATAGATGCCGTAAGTACCCCTATAATACTCCTAAAGAATCAAAACAAAGTTTGTTGTCTTTCAAAAGCAATAAAATTGAAAGTGGTTGTACTAGTGGATTGTCTTATGTGAAATATGATCCAACTGTAATTAGAAAAGCTTTATCTGAGATGGTTATAGTTGATGAATTGCGTTTTAAGTTTGTTGAGGGAGTAGGCTTTAAACAATTTTGTAATGTAATGGAGCCTAGATTTCATGTCCCTTCCATAATTACTGTGGCTAAAGATTGTTATGAAACTTTTTTAACTCAAAAAAGAAAGCTGAAATTGGTATTAAAAAAGTGTAACTCAAGGGTTTCATTAACAACCGATACATGGACATCTATTCAGCAAATTAATTACATGTGCTTGACTGTTCACTTTGTTGATAATGACTGGAATTTGCAAAAACGCATTCTGAATTTTTGTCCTATATCAAGTCATAAGGGGGAGGAAATTGGGAAAGAAATTGAGAAATGTTTGCTTGATTGGGAACTTGAGAAAGTATTTTGCATAACTGTTGATAATGCTAGCTCAAATGATACCGCAATAGGATATATGAGAAGGAAAATAAATGGTTGGAAAGCTGGGGTTCTTAAGGGTCGGTTCCTTCATATGCGTTGTGTTGCTCATATTGTGAATTTGGTTGTGTCTGATGGCTTGAAAATTGTTAATGAGTCTATTAATCGTGTGAGACAAGCTGTAAGATTCATCAAACAATCCCCTTCTAGGTTGGTAAGGTTTAAAAAATGTGTTGTGGAAGAAAAAATCAACTCTAAAAAGTTGTTGTGCCTTGATGTGCCTACTAGGTGGAATTCCACCTTTTTAATGTTGGATGCTGCTTTGGTGTTTGAGTATGCTTTTGAGAGGTACTCTGAGGAGGACCCTCATTATGTGATCGAGTTAAATGAGAGGGAGGGGAAGGGCTGCCCTACTTCTGAGGATTGGGAAACAGTCAGAAGGTTTTCTGAATTTTTACAAGTCTTTTATGATCTTACGTTGCGTGTCTCTGGGTCTTTGCATGTGACTTCCAATTTATTTTTCCATGAATTGGTGAGTGTTGCTGTCCTTTTGAAAGATTTGATGACAAATGATGATGTGGAGATGTGTCTTATGGCTACTAAAATGAAGGAGAAATATGACAAATATTGGGGTGATCCGGAGAAAATGAACATGCTGATTATTGCTGTTGTGCTTGATCCTCGTTATAAGTTAGATTATTTTGAGTGGATGTTAATTGAAATTTATGATTCTAAGCATGCATTTGTTTCGGTGAATAATTTGAAAGAGTCTTTGAATGCATTGTATGAGGAGTATCGTGGTTCTTCTGGTGATGTGATTAGGGAGGAAGTGTCCTCAAGTATGGACAGTTCCCAATTTTCTCCCAAACAAAAGAAGCTTCAGGTATTGAAGAGTAAGTATAAGAAACATAAGTGTGAGAAAGATGGAGAAGCAAAAATTGAGTTAGACAAATATTTAGAAGAGGAAACGGAGGAGGAATGTGAAAATTTTGATATTTTGGGGTGGTGGAAGTTTCATAGTGCTAGGTTTCCAACAATTGGAAGAATGGCCCGTGATATACTTGCTTCCCCTATCTCAACAGTAGCCTCTGAGAGTGCATTCAGCACTGGTGGTAGGGTTCTAGACCCATTTAGGAGCTCCTTAACTCCAAGGGTCGTTGAAGGACTTGTTTGTGCTCAAAATTGGCTACGTTCTTCTCCCTTTCCTAATATAGAAGAGTGTTTACAAGAAGTTGAAGATCTTGAAGAAGGTAACATAAAACAACAATTATCATGTTATTTTTTTTCATGATTTCATATATATTATGTAACTTGTTTATTTTTTTTAATGTTATTAGACTTGAGGAATATGACAATTGGTGGTCAAAACCCGGACTTGGTTGAGCTTGATTGAGAGTTAGCTGCCAAGAATGAAGCTGCCCTATTGATTGAAGACTTGAAGTTTCTGCCAAGAGCCTAAGAATGAAGCTGCCCTGTTGGTTGAACTAGTTCATTTGTGGGCTGTTTGTCTGTTTTATTATCAATTCATCATGTGGACTGTTTTGATAATTTTAAGACTTGTTAAGTTCTTATGTCTCAATGTGGACAATGTGTAAGTGTATTTAATTACTATGGCAGTATGGCTGGACAATTTAGTTACTATGGCAGTATGGCATATGGTTGTGACTTGTGAAAGTTGTATGTTAAAATTTATGCTTTAATTTTGTTCAGGAACAGGTACAAAATTTAGGCCTTTAAAAGGCCCAAAATTATATGCCCAATAAAAAGCCCAGATTTTAAGGCCCAATACAGCAGCCCATAAAAATTCGGTTGGATTGGATTTAATTCTCAAAACCGAATTATTTCGGTTTGGATTGGATTGGATTGAATCCAAATTCGGTTTGGATTCGGTTTCAAAAATCCGTAACCGAAATAATTCGGTTTGGATTCGGTTTGGGGTGTAATCCAAACCGAATACCGAACTTTCACCCCTACCTTACACCTCACTGTAGTGTGTAGGCAGATGAATGTTCCTATGAGCCGGTTGATAATGGCTCTGCAATTAATGTGTGCCCACTCCGTACTGCAAGGAAGTTGGGTATAAAGAATGAAGAGTTGACTCCCTCCACTCAAGGGATTCGAGCTTACGATAATACTCGTCGTCAAGCCGTGGGTACTATCATATTGAATATAACTACTGGGGCCATTGAACGTCGCACCAAGTTTCAGGTGGTGGACATTAAGGCCTCTTTCAATCTGTTGTAAGGACACCCTTGACTTCATGAGCTAAAGGCGATTCCGTTATCGCTCCACCAGAAAGTGAAAGCCATAGTTGGAGGGGTTCTGATTACTATCGATGCTTCTCCTATGCACATTCAAGTTATTGATACTCCTATCGTCCATGTTAAACATGACGAAGAAGATGAAGATCTTTGGGGGTTTTCACTAGATGATGTTCTTGTGATCGAAGAAGAGGAAAAGTGCCATCTCGACTTCGATCCCTATTCAAACACCAGTATCAACGCCATTATGAAGAAGCAAGGTCACTTCCCTGGAATGACCCTTGGGCTCAAGAAGAAAATGGCTAAATCTTGGGGCCATCCTGGTGCGCTCAAGAAGGATACTTTCGGCATGGGATTCGAGCCAACAAAAGAAGATCTCAAACAAGCTGCATTGAAAATGAAAGCTCGCAACAACGCTCGAATCACGAAGACGGAAATGTCCATGGATCCATATCCGTTCACCCTCAATGGCCAGTACATCAAAGAAGGGGAAGACTTCCCATGCTATGAATTCCCTGAACCATTTGTCCATAATGGGATCCGTGAACCGGGATTCGAGGTGTTCCTCGATTGTGACTTCATCGATGAAGAGCTCTCCACAGTCGAGAAGTCAGCTAGCCTGAACTCTGATGATCTGGGAATCAACCTTCTTTTTGGAATGGAGAAGAATGAATCCAAGCCGGTCTGCAATGATAACTCTGAGCTCGTTCAAGCCGTCATAGAAAACAAGGATTTCGACCCTCCGAGTTAATCGTCCAAGCTGACAACATTTCAAGGGGATGGCGCAAGACATTGAGGATCACTACGCCGACTGGAGAGAAGTTGGAAATAACCGCTGGCGAGGGTCCTATGTTTGATGAGTCTGAATCGTCCGGGTCTTAGTCCGAATCTGAGTCTAAGTTTGTAGATGAGTCCTTAGAGTCTGAGGCTGACCCTTTTTCTGCTATAGAGTTCAATCCTGAGTCTCTTGTTGAGTCCTATCCTTCTAGTCCTAATAATTCTGGTGAGGTCGCAGCCGACCTTGCCTCTCTTGATGTATTAGCCAATAAATTCAATGAAATGAATGCCTGTGCTTACGATGCGTGCCATTCCCCTAGCCCTGATCAATATTGCTTTGCTAATGATAAAAATAACAAAGAAATAATAAAAGCACGCGTGAACTCCTGTCGGGAGAGAGGGTCATAGAGATCAGGATCAAGATGAAGATCCGCACCCGCTGCTCGGCCGTCGTATCCTCTATATCGAAGCCGCGAGCAAAACTGAATCCGACTCCGATCGTCCACTCCTAGGACCACCTCGAGACACCGGTCGGGTCCTGATGTGCTGAACGACCGGACCCAACAAATCAGCTACCTCAGCCGATGTCCAAGATAGATCAGACATCTAGCCTACTGCCCGGTCAGTAAAGCGCAACCCGCTGATCATGCTGAAGTCCAGGGGGGTCACCGTCATCTCCCTCCAAGCAAAGTGAAACGTGTTGGTAGTATCCCAGAAATACTCCAACAATGCGCGAACGACCGTCGCGCCGCAACCCCGGGGGCTGCAAAACCCTACAACCGCCGCGTAGAAATCGACCAAGCCAGACGACTCCCATAGGGCGCTCGTAGCAGGATCCCTCGTAATGACCTGGTAAAGTTGAGGGATCAAATCACCGGCCCCGGAACCATGCTGGCGAAGTGTGCCATCGACTATGCCGGAGAGTGCGCGGTGAGAGATGTGGTTTTCACGGCAGAAAACCAACTGGTCTGGGGTCCACGGAGGTGGAACCCACCTACCCCTACTCGTAGAAGTCCGAGGCTCGGACTCCAAGACGTCGTCGTCCACGCCCTCAGGGACAGTGGGAGTGTCCTCCCGAAAAGCCCGACGCCGGCCGCGGGTAGAAAGGTCGCAATCTCGTCGTCTAGGCATGCTATTATAAAAATCTAAATGTTTAGCATCATTTCCTAAACATTTTTTTAGGTGCATATTTATAATAAAAAAAATAAATATCTAAATACTTAGCATCATTTCCTAAGCTATTTAGTTGTTTATTGAATTATATGCTAAATTTTATCTAAATGTTTAGCATCATTTCCTAAACATTTAATTCAAGTTGCATATTTAAATGTTTAACATTATTTCCTAAACATTTAATTCAAGTCGCATATTTACAATAACAATCTGAATACTTAGCATCATTTCCTAAGCTATTTAGTTGTTTATTGAATTATATGCTAAATTTTTACCTCAAGGCTAAAAATTGGCAAAATTATGGTATTTAGTTTCTCCATGACAAACTAATACTACAGTTCTCCTAACCGCATGATACTATGTTCTCCATGACAATATAGTACATATGCAAATTATGAATCAACAAATCATTTCACAAGATTCACCACCATTTTTTCACCATTTCAAAGCATGAATATTATTTCACAAAGTAGCACCCAAAAATGGTGATTTGCTCAATTCTCCATCAAATCATGCAATTTTTGTCTCAAATTTCTCACAAACACACATGTCCACATATACAAGTAAAATCATGGCAAGAATTTCAACATAAAGCTTCAAAATCAAAAACCCCCAAATTGATTTTTTAGGGTTTGTCATGAAATTGTTAATATGAAGCAAATTCAAAGCAAAAATCAAAGGGAGCTTACATGAATGTTTGTAAAGGGTCGAAAATGAGGAGAAGATCGAGAAATTACAACAAAATTGGTGAAATTCGAACTCCAAAACTCGAAAACGTGTTCCAGCCACCAGCGCAGCTGCCGCGACACATGCAAGATTAACCGTGTCACGGTCAAGACTAACCGTGTCACGGCGACCTTCAAGCCTGACGGAGCTCCGAAAAGTCTGGGCTGCAGCTCCGGGACAGAAGCAGAAGCAGGAACGGCAGACAGCAGCAGCGCAGAACAGTAGCAGGAAAACCGCAACAAAACAAAAAAGAGAGAAAAGATTTGCGGACTAACCGTGTCACGGTTGCCGTTACTGTGTCACGGCGATTTTCGAACGGCCGGCGGTTAACCTCAGGCGTGGCGCGGCAGTTTTTGGTAAGAAAGGAGCAAAAATGGTGAAGTGTGAAAGCAAGTATGAAGAAGAAATGTGAAATGTGAAATGGTGAAAGCAAGCATGCCGATTTAAAGACAGAAAAGGACAAAAAAGAGAAAAAGTGACCGTTATTGAATGATTCAAACAGCGAAAAGAAAAAAAAAATAGGGGTCCCGTGACACGGGATTCTTGACCGTGTCACGGGAACCTGCTGACGTGGCACGACAAAACTGCATTTGGTCAGGGAATATTCTTGGTTTTTTGACCAGTTTGACTGATTTTCCGAGCTTATTAGGCGATTTATTTTCGCTACAGTTACGCGGAAAATTCCAACTGATGTTTAAGGGGGACTAAAATTACCATTTTACCCCTGGCAAGCGTCAAAGCCTATTTTTCGGCATTTTAAGCATTTAATATGGTCGGATAATCGGCTTAAAATTGTGAATCATATTCGACCCACGTTCGGGGATAATCGAACCACCATATACTTATCAATTTTCCGCAATCGTCGGCTTTCCTCAGGCTTGGAAAGCGTTATCGGTGGATTTTTCTTCAAGTATAGAAAACCGCCAAGTCGGCTTTCCTCAGGCTTGGAAAGCGTTATCGGTGGATTTTTCTTCAAGTATAGAAAACCGCCAAGACGGCTTTCCTCAGGCTTGGAAAGTGTTATCGGTGGATTTTTCTTCAAGTATAGAAAACCGCCAAGTCGGCTTTCCTCAGGCATGGAAAACATCATCAGTGGATTTTTCTTCAAGTATAGAAAACCACAAAATTCCTTTGTCGGCTTTCCTCAAGTATGGAAGGCATTAGCGGTGGATTTCTTCAAGCATAGAATGACACCAAATTTGTTTGTCGACTTTCCTCAGGCATGGAAAGTATTATCCGGTAGCTTTCTTCAGGCTTAGAAAGGTACCAAACTCTTCAGTCGGCTTTCCTCAAGCATGGGAAGCATTTCAACAAATGTCACTCAGTGGATTCCTTCAAGCTTAGGAAGCTGCCAAACTCGTTTGTCACCGACACACTGGTGCCAGATACGTTTCTATCCCATTACTCTCTTATCTGTGGAATTAACATTTTTTTGCAGGTATCGGCGTATGAAGAGTGATTTAGGATCGCAGAACGTCTTAAATCATTCTCCGTCCCTATCGACTACTTTGACTATCGTTTTCGAAACTAATGTTTCTACAAACTCAGTCAAAGTGGGGGCTTCTGTAGACACCTAAAAATGTCTCCCCAAAACCAAACCCGATGATAAATAACCTTTCACCGCCACAGTTGGTCGGGTTTAGTATTTAATCCCGAGAGTGCTTGAAAAATCGTATTTTATTAAATTCATACCTTTGAAAGGTCCATGGATTAGTCTTGATGTTTGGTAAAAGCATA